GTTGGTTGATTTTGAGTGGGATGTGTTGTTTTTGTTGTGTCCTTTTTTATTGTTTTGTTCTGTCTCTGTGTTGATGTATCTCATTGTATGTTGTGTCTTATGGTTTTTGTTGTGTCCTTTGTTTATTGTTTTGTTGTGTCTCATTGTGTTGATGTATCCCATTGTTTGGGTGTCATATTGTTTTTGTTGTGTCCTTTTGTTTATTGTTTTGTTCTGTCTCTGTGTTGATGTATCTCATTGTATGTTGTGTCTTATGGTTTTTGTTGTGTCCTTTGTTTATTGTTTTGTTGTGTCTCATTGTGTTGATGTATCCCATTGTTTGGGTGTCATATTGTTTTTGTTGTGTCCTTTTGTTTATTGTTTTGTTCTGTCTCTGTGTTGATGTATCTCATTGTATGTTGTGTCTTATGGTTTTTGTTGTGTCCTTTGTTTATTGTTTTGTTGTGTCTCATTGTGTTGATGTATCCCATTGTTTGGGTGTCATATTGTTTTTGTTGTGTCCTTTTGTTTATTGTTTTGTTCTGTCTCATTGTGTTGATGTATCTCATTGTTCTGTTCTGTCTCATTGTTTTGTATGTTATTGTAGGACACTGCCACCGGGTATAAACCCATTTGCAGTCAATAATAAATAATAATAATAAGTGCCAAAATTAGTATTTAGTTTCTTCGTTTGTGGCTTATTTAACGATGCGGTCACTACCTCTGACTAGAACGTCGAATGATAGGACAATTAATTAATAGATAATAAATTAGAAAGGATATAGAAGGAAACGGTCACGGTCCAATTTCAGGTACTTTTCCGGCATTTACTTAGAGGACAGAGGAAAACCACGAGATACGTCAGTCGTAGTAGCCGGCCCGCGGGCCCAGATTTGATCTGGGATCTCTCATATATGAAGCAGAACCACCAGGCCGCGATGTTCCATTCATAACTAGCAATAGACATTTTTGAACACCTGATATGTATTTTGACACTGGTTATAAAGCTTCAGTAAGGCGGTCGTCAGGCGACAAAGTAATTATTTATATAATTAATATTTATCAGTAATTACTGATAGTTGGTATTTCCTGTAGAGCTCAACATAGCGGATATATTTTACTGTACTTTTCATTCGTTTTAATTTGATGATCAACTTTGTTGCGGCAATGAATTCGTCACGGACGACCAACTGCCACTTATTTCGCAGGAAAATAATTCATTTACTAGCCGTATAATCATATTAACGTGAACAATTTAACGTGGTCATAGCTAGAATGAAACATTTTTGACACATACACCCAGCTCCCTCGCCCTGTTCTGAAAATCTGATTCGTTCTTATAGGAAGGACAGAACTTTTTACCTTAGGTTACTCCATGAGGCCGAGTCCTTGACAAGCCGATAGTCGTTTGTTTAGCTGGACATGATATTCATCGCTTATGTAACTCGAAGGCTTATTATGATGTTCACAACAGTGCACCACCAGATCCTAACCGGAGTGAGATTTATCTAGTCAACACCCTCACACCCTATAACGACACGTTTCAATATCATCCATCAATATACGGCAAGGTGTTTTATCATTCAACAAAATCTATTTGTGGACTGTTCTGATATTTCTTTCTGCTGATTGGCCCGGAAACCGGCTTCTCTAACGAAGTCTTTGCTGTTTTTCTTCGGTCCCTGCAGGTAAATGATGGGAGAGTACTTTAAATTAGCCCATGATTGTTTCCAATTAATTACTCGTTATTCTATCATTCGACGCCACGCAGTGAGCGGTATGACAGTGTCCTCAAGCAAAACATAACATCCATATTGGCCCTGGGACTCGTAGAGCCTCCTATCCAATGGGTAAGAGGGTTCTTTCCACGGGGGTAAAGTGGCCGATGCGTAAAGTTAACCACCCACCTCTCTCTAAGCCGAGATGAGGAATGCGTAGATATACACCTCCACTCCCCAATACGTCATCACGACGTTGTGCTTAGTTACGCACCGGGGACTTCACCTAAATGAAATGTTCATCTGAATTTGAATCTCACATTCGATACAATTACAGTCTCCCGACTGCATACACCAGCAAACAAACCAGAACCACTTACCCTACGGTTCGCAGGCCCGCCCAAGGGATGAAACGAAATGCAGGGTTCTGCATCGTGTCGAGGACTGGGAATTAAACATGTATTGCAGTCACGTGCATCACGGCCTCCAACAGCCAATTACGTTGTGACGAAGTGTACCGAGTTCAAAACTTGGCAGGTGTTCCACACTAATAGGACTCCATTACGTCTGTGTTGACTGATTTACTGTGTGGCTAATAGGCTCTTTCCTCGTTTAGTTTAACGTCCCACTCATTTACTGAACGGACAGCAGAGGAGGGAACACGACTCTTTCTTGAACTAACGCGAAATTTTCCTAGCAAACGAATCTAGGTTCGAGTCTAGCTCGCGCAAACTTCTGCGCGTTATTGTAAGACATCACCTCAGAATTTCAAAGCAATTTCATGTGGGTTACACGAAACAGGATGACGTAGTGGTAAAGCATAACTAATACACCTTTATTCTCAAAAAACACCGTTCGAATCTCGGCTGGATAACACGTTGTTCAGACTGAAACTTCTCGCAGCTTTTCTGCCTCCACAAATAACTGCCAGGCCACGAACATTCCTTCCAAATCCTTACCTGCTCGTTATTCAAGGTCATATACCCATCTCTTTCGAGCCATCCTATTTACCGTCCGCTTTTTAAGCAGCACAAGTAAATAAAGCGAAGTCTTCTTTGTTACATACGGCCAGTTCGTTACCAAGTGCTAAGGTGGATGGATTAACGTCCCTCCTTATAACGCTGAGGTTGGCGCGGCAACTAACGAGGCTGACAACAGCCAATTACAGGAAGGATAAACAACACAACTCTGTTTCAGCTGCATACCGCCATATCAAACTTTGTGCTGTGCAAAGTTCAGCTCTTTCTGCCTTCGAATTATACTGGCGGAGGAGGGTTATAAGTGACGTCTCATAGAACAGGTACCGAAAAGCCACGCTTTCTCATAACAACTTTACAAATGGCCAGACAGAAGAATTCCGACGTAAAAGGTGAGAATTACTAGGTGATACAATCTCTTGGAAGATAGAGAAGAAGAGAGGACGTTTCGACCAACTTAATTTTTACAAATTATTAATCACTTTGCAGTTCCAGTTTTCTGCCTGCATCAGAAACATAAACAACGTTTCGGAGGGTCGTTCAGTCTGTCTTGAGATGAAAGGAAATTGTACGCCCATTGCGTAATGTTCGTCTTCATCAATAAAAATCTTCTTCGGGCAATCTAAAATACTTAAATATAAATTATGTGTGACGTTTCGGCAAGTTATTTCTTCACTCTGTTATATAAATACAAGGGAACAGACGTCATATTATTAAATAATGAAATCAAGATGGTTATGTTATCATATTGTGCCATCAGTCTGGAAACCAGAGCGTGTAAGTTCTGTTCACTTTTTATAGACATTTAAACTTTCATCTAACAAGGAGGATTGGTCCATAAAGTCGGCACGCCTATCTGTCCCATGGATCTTAAAATACGAGGCAGTCACGCTGTGAGATACACCGCAAACTTGTTCATATAATACGACAACGTTCTAAGAAAACGTGATTTATCTCCCCGGTGACAGTAATTGGACCATCTAGAAGTATAAGTTACGCAACAGTTGTTGATAGAAATAAATTAATTGGCGGCAATTAACGGCCATGCTCATTTATAGTCGAGTTACTTTGGATCTTCGCCATTTTACGGGTCTATTTGGGTGCTCGTGACGAAATCAAACAGTGAATTTTATTCCACCATATGATTGTCTTCTAGACGTGGCCGACCTTGCTCTGCAGGGTATAATGCGGTATTTGCTCCAAATATGGAGAGACTGTGTGTGCATGAGAGTCCGCAAGAAACTCAGTGTCGAATTCAATTTTGTATTATATCGGTCCAGTTCAACCGCTAATTTATATGAAGATTAAGCCAAACTTCGGCGCATGCCAAAACGCAGAGCATTTGTCAAATACACAGTAAACAGGCCTACAACTAATTGGGTCATAACTTTCTGAGATTCGAGATTCTAGAATTTATTTATTTACGGTTTATTTAATTACGCAGTCAGCTACTAGACTAATCAGTGCTGAATGATATATTTATGAATAATAAATACACAGGATATGGCATGAAGCAGACGTGGCCTAAATTGAGGTACTATCATGGAATTTTCCTGGAGGCATTGACGAAAACCACAAGAAACTCAGTCTGGATAGCCGATATTTGTGCCGAGATTTGAGCCCGGGGCCCACAGGAGTGCTAACCACCCAGCTGCGTTGTTCAGTGAAGATGTTGTGTTCTGAATTGTGACGGGATATAGTAATCACCCTGAGAATGGAATCGATAAGATTCTCCAAAACGTTAGTAACAACTTGCATGACTAGGCGTCACATTCCAGCGTAACACAAATGAGTGTAATTTTCAACTCTTCTTTTCCAAGAACATGTAGTAGGATCGGTTGTGTGTTGTCAATACTTCAGACACACCGAATATTATGAATGTCATTTACTGGACTCGTAATTCACGTCACTCAGCAGCATGAAACGAATATCAGCGGTTTGATGCCCTGCCAGATACACATTTGTACGAGCTAGAGCCGACTGGACAGACATTTACAAATGGACGTGTACGATGAGATGCGTAACTGACAAAGTTTACGTACAATTTACACGCACGCGTACCGTTTCATGTGACAGCTTGCCGGTCATTTCGCCAAGTTTTGCACACATCCCTTCAAATGGCACATAATTGCCAGATGGCATCTGTGCATGAAATAACGTACCGGTTTCCTCCGATTTTAGCCAGATGGCGCGGACCTCCAAGTCCGGTCCGAACGCCAACATCACGAATAGCCTACAGCTAATACCACACGGCCATCGTAAGAGCATCTGTCTGAGGTTGCAACCAGAACACAGTACGGTGACACAGATTAGAGCGAGCACTCACCCGTCTAGTCCCTGCTCCGCCTCGGTCGGCCGACCTTGCCCTTGCGTACACCAGTGCCAGCGTTGGTGGCTGCGCCGCCCGCAACGCCGGACCCCTTCACCAGCTTGTGCCAGTCCTGCTCGCAGATGAGGCTGCCCGCCAGCAGGCAGTAGCGGTCGCCGGGCACGAGCTGTGCCCCGCACTTGGAACACGTGAAACACTTGAGGTGGAACACTTGGTGACCGCCGGGCTGCTGCGTCTGCTGCTGGGGCCCACCTCCGGGGGCGATGCCGGCCCTCATCACGAATTCGCTCGCGGGGATTGTCTGCCCGCAAGCCGAGCACGCTCCCGAGATTCCAAACATCCTGCAACAGCGCAAGTACATTACACATCGAAAGGCAGACACGGACAAACGAAGACCCGGAGTACCTTCTGGTACTAATCTGAGATTCTCCATTTCCTGTTTGCACCAGAACCAGCATTTCTCTGACTTCTTGCTTCAAAGGTGTGTCTTCAGTGTTTTGTACTCAGATACAGGGACATTGTCCAGCTCTATCAGAATTCCACGGCAGAATAACATGGCTGTCTTACGGGATGCAACACCGTGTGGTTTGATACAGATTGAGATAGAGGCGGTAAGTTAATCTAAAACGTCGGTCACTACCAACCGTACTACACGGTTGTTACACCCGAAAAGACAACCATCTTGAACTGGGATAAAGCAGCTCAGAACTAGGTTATGCCTCATTGTGGAAATCGTTTGTGAGTATGAGAAACGAAGTGGACTGGGCCGACGTTTCTGACGATAATAATAAATAAACCTTCAACTTTCATTACAGGAAGACATTTCCCGAATAACAAAATAACCACATACCGTTTAATGACCTGTCAATGCTTATTTAACAATGCTTTCTGAACTTCGTATGCTGTATATAACCGAATGAGAAGACAACTGTGGATGGCGGGCATAAAAGGATATGCAAGGCAGCGGCCTTGACATATTCAAAATACTACGCTACACTACATTTGGAAAAAGGAGGAAAGGAAACAACTTTGATACAAAATTTTATAAGAATATCATGGCAGGATAGCTCGGCAACTGGACGACAAGTGTTTGATTAAAGACATGGCCCGTGTCTCTTTCTCGGAGAATAAGATGTGTCTAACCACGCGCCTCCGGGGTGAGGAATTCGTGGCGATTTACCTCCACATGCTCCGCGTGTTTGGTGCTTAGCACATGGGCAACATTAGCCAACTCGACAGAATATCATGGCTGGACAAGCACCGAGCTCGTTCTTCACCGCGGAATGCAAACAGTGAACAAAAGGGCGGGTAAGCATAATGCAGAATGCTTCCCGCAACTCAAACCAGTCCGTCTCTGTCACTTTCAGACGTTATGAAACAAGATGCTTATCAAGACAGGCTGAAAATCTGTTGCTTTGTCCAGCACAGGACAGGTCGAAACAAAAATTAGAAGTCATTCCAGTGAAACCCAGCACAGCGGGAAGTCCTGTTTAACATATCGTAATTAGAAAATAGATGATATTCTCACGCGTGATATTCCAGGGGTGTTGAAAATCTACAAATTGATATATTTATTGCATCAAAATAAAACACATGTCAGTACGTAGATATTCATATGCTCAAGAAATTATCTTTTAGGGTTTGATGTTTTCACGGCGGTGAATCCGAAGACACCTGTCTTCTGGGTTAAGTGCCGTCTGGTAGAAGTTTACCAACGTTTCAGAGGTCCTTGCCGCCTCCATCACCAAGCCGATCGTCCTGACTACACGGCACTTCTACCCAGAAAACAGATACCAATTATTTGTTCTTTATCTTCTTCCCTTCGTCTTTGACTTTATGGTTACGGGTGTTTGTAAACTCTCTCCTTTCGTGGGATAGAACCCCTTTTTTAGAAGTTGACAGTGGCTCAGTTAATCAAGAAATTCTCCGAGAGTTCGTAACAACCTTTTTAGAGCCTGACACTAGACCTGGAACTGCCGATTCCAGACCACGGCTTTGGACAATATTCTTATGTACTATATGTAGATTATTCGCGGTTTAGAGACAATGAAATGTGAAACGGAAGATTGAAAATAATTACACTTGTAATATCCATGGTGAATAAGGAATAGGTTTATATAGTTTAAGAGGAAAACGGAGTGTTAGAAATCGAACCAAATAAAACAGCAGAAGTACGGAAATTTATTTAACGGTCGGAAAATCTTAAAGGTAAACAGAGCTTACAGATAAGGTGAAACTGGTTCAGGATTGGGTTAAATTGTGAGCGTTTGTCAAGAAGGTGACGAACCTTATTGTTTAACTGAAGGAGTACATTTCTTAACTGGCTGAACAACTATGAACTTTTCAAGGATGAGTTAATTAGATGGTAGCAAAATGGTCCTAACCTCAAACTCCAACCAGCGCTACAAAGAAACAGAAACAGACCGGCACCCACGTGTTAGATGCAGGGCTCATGTCACAAGGCAAGAAACACAGCAGTAAATAAATTTAAAAATAACACAAGTTGAATATATGCCAATAATCCGTTTTCTGCGCAGATTCCCACTTCGAATTACGAACATTACATACGTCAATCATCCCTGCCTATATTTAAGTATATTTTTACATTTCCCCTGCCAGCTCTTCAAACCGTACAATACGAAAGGCATCAAAGTGAAACACAGCTAGAGTATAATTGCAAGCTGATTTAATTAGCTATATGGTTGCTATATATTCCACGGTTGATGGATTCTAATAATAATACTAACAAACATAATTAAAGGTTATAATAATAAATCGAAGCGTTTTATATTGGAAAGTCCGTAGGGAAATTGTTCATGCTACAATCCCATTGTTACGCAGTACAATGGATGGGCACACAAAGCAACCATATTAATTTGTGGATCAGGTGTGAAGAGCTTGTTCGCCGAAATGACGTCACATTATTTGCTAGCTCGGTCATTGTTTCGTATTGTAGTGCTGCGCCCTGAAACACTGTCGGTAACGTAGGATCCTTACTTGATCGAGAGAGCTATCAACATCTTCCGGGCTTGCAAACTGTAACCACCATACGGTATGAACACTGTCAAAATCTCTCTTATGAATTCGTCAAATGATCGGCTTACTTGTTTTGTTTTTTACGTTACCAGTACTTCCTATACAAGAGAAAGCTGAACTTAATGTTAGCCTTATAAATAACATCTGAACTTTGCCGCTGGCCCGTTAGAATTTCTTCGCGTGCTGTATTCTGTTCGTGTCCCACGGCTTTCATTTTCCATCTGAGCTACAAATTTTCTAGAGCTTCTTTCCTATTTTAAGAGCGCTGCGTGGAGAATTTCTACGGAAACTCATTTTGAAACTAGACTCTCTGCAAGTGTCATAAAACAGCGAGAAAGAAGGAACAAATCTGTGAAGTTCATTCTGCTTGAGATGTGCTGGCTAACAAACCTGCCAATCACCATGGAATTTTTTGAATAATCGAATGTATTTCCTATCCCTTACATGGATCTGGGAAAAGTATTAAAATGCATGAATTCTGAATTGTAAATGAAGATTAGAGCCGTGTTTATGTATTAACGGCTTGGGGGTCATATTCTTCCCAGTTAGCTCAGCGACCCTACACACGCTGACAAAGCGCAAAGCGCTACCTCCATCTGGGCAGCAACTCCTGTTATAAGCAAACAAAGGCATGGTACTGAGCGCACACACAGGTACCCGGAGTCTCAGGATATTTGTTTTAACACACTTGTCCCTTCAAACAATACGCCCCCGTCATTTTGTCAGAACATCGAACACTGTCTTGGTGACTGACAAACAGAGAACAGTACAACATAGCTTGGAATGGGACAGCACAAGTGTACCGAAGTTCGATTTCCTACAGGGGAAGGGCACCTCTTGGCTATCACATCGAGACTGGGTCTGGGTGACCAATGGACAACACGGTACTCATCCCTCAGTAGTATAGTGCCTGAACAGTGACGCTGACCACATATCAATCCAGTGTCGAGGTTAAGAATGCGTGGATCTGAATCTCAACTCCCACATAAGTCTGCAAAATATGACGAACAGGAACAATTTACGACATGAATGGCGCAAACGGGACACTGTTTCAGGACATTTACTGTAGAAACTAGTTAACCAAAAGTGAATTTTTAGAGCTGGAGAAATTATAAGTAACGACATTATAAAAATTAAGCATCAATATATCTAAGAGCGACGTACACCTATAAACACATTGTTTACTGTTCTAATTACTGCCCAAATATTTCCTGTCGTGTTGGAATCACTGTCTCTATTTCTTGATATAACACTACTTGAAATCATTTTGTTCTCACACACCTTCTATAACGCAGCAGGGTCATCCTTCTGTCTGTAGATAAAGAAAATACTTGCTTATATTGACAAGTGACCATGATAACAAATTTAATTACTCCTTTCTTTACAATTAATAGAAACTTGCACGTAATGCATTCTATTCCACGTGCAAATGCAAACTGAAATTTCTGTAATTGTGCCACGCTTTCGAGGGTAGTCCACCTCTTGATACAGTTGCACGCATACAAGCTTCAACGACTTCAATAACCAGAATGGAGAACGTTCTGTTTGACATGTTTCGATGTTGCAGAAATTTTGCAAGATAGTGGGAAACTATATTTTTACCCTTATGCATTATCTTCGCGATAATATATTTGTATCTGCAATAAAGAAACATGAACGCAAATCACAAGGAACGTATTTGGGAATAATGTGTACTCCACACTGGAGTACATCTATGCACTCTTGTTTGAATCACATTTTCCAGTAACCCCAGAGTTTTAATTCATTTGTGGACTTGTAGTAACATTGATTAATCAATTTAGTCGTGTCAGCCATGTTTTCCTGTAGACACCGCACTCCCCTTCAACTAGCAACCTGCCTCGTCTTCCGCTCCAATTAAATGCGTCCATATGAACAGAGACGCTTTCCTTTTTTACGTGATCTAAATTAAAAGCATATGGAAGTCTCTCTGCTAAATTGGTTGACCTAAATAGTGACCCTTCAGTAATGAAAAATAAGGAAGCACAGCTAATAAGTTGCAAGGAAAAAAGATAACTTCTTTCCTTGTTTAAGAATATATATATTTTATTTTCTCCGTAACGTAATTATGGGTTCCTTAATTAAGGGCCTGACCCGCAGTGCTGTCAGTGGGCATAGCTGGAGCCTCACTTTACTGGTACTAGTCAGTCAGGTGATGATGCCGCCTGGGGGCGGATGACACGGAAGTAAGGCCTTTGTTGCGTTAGCCAATCACATATCAGGAGACAGGTGGCTACAATTCCTTGTTTTTTCTTTGCCGATTGATTTAATCTGAAATCCTTACATT